AATCGTCGTACTGACGAGGTCCAATTGTGGTAACGGTAAGAAATGTATACGACTTAATGGATCGAAGCATTTCTTACCGATTACTAATATTTCCATACTCCTATTTCCCTTTTCTAATTCGCTTTTTACTTCGTTTTTCTCCCCTTCTTCATTTTTTCTACTTCATCATTTTCTCTGTATTCTTTAATAACACAAAAGTAAGCACCGGCTTACTGGAAAAGTAAAGACGATGTCGCGCACCAGGAGACTGCCGTGACTTACGCTTACAGTGCGTGAGTTTTATAAGAGTGCGCGAAATCTCACTGCCTTGCTCTGTTCTTGGAAACGTCTTTTTTGAAGCAAAATGTTAGGTGCGGAACAAAAATGATTGGAAGGAATACTGAAGATATTGTAGCGAACAAATTTTTTGAGGTCAATGTAAAATGACACAACGCAAGAATTTCTGATAGAAAAAGTCAAACAAATTCATTTTGTTGAGGCCGCCTGCGCAAAAGCCATTCATCGTGATCGTTGTCTGTAATGTTTTTGAGAATTTTTTCTTTTCAAAAAACGCTGTTCTTTGGAAGAGCACAAAAAAATATGATAAATTGAGACGTCATCATTAGAAGGAAATTCCATATGAATGCGAGCGTGATGTATCATTAACGGCGATTTAAAAACAAATAAGTAGTGGCTCACGTTACGAAGAGAGCATTTATGCATTTTTGCGATAATGCTGCTGTTGCTGCTGCGAGCCCAAAGTGAAGCTCACGATAAGATTTACTGGTGCTGTTTTTGCTCTATCACACTGTATAGTTACCGAACTGTTTGATGATAATACCTTGTCACAAATGAGAACCGCAAAAACCCTGGTACTCTGCATACTGCAACTCTACTGCGGTAATGAGAACAAATCGCTGCCTCATTTTATTCGCGAAATTTTAGTTTTCACATTTTTTTACAATTCCAAAATTGAATTGTGTGTTGAGGCAAGCAGGAAAACGTACACAAACCCATATACGCAAACAGTCGTAACGAATTTCACCTGAATGCACTTCCGCATCACTGATGCAGTGCAAAAATTACAAGGGAATTTACGATTAATTAGGCCTGCGGTTCCCAACTTGGGGCCTGCAGCTTCCAGGTGAGATATCATTGTGGGGTCACGAAGACAGACAAACAAGGGGCTAAGTGAGAAGATTCGCATTAAATTTTCGTCAAATTTCAATGTATAAATCGGCAACAGATTTTTGCGATTAACACACTAGAGCACCACGAAATCGCCATTAGAGCGAGACGAGTGTTGATGATATATCATTTTAAATTCAATCAGAATCTTCGCAATAGAGGTATCATAATAGGTGTATATATATTGACAGACTGGCTTATTTCCCCGTCTCACCAAATTTGAAGACCTTTCATGAGGAAATTCTGAAATAGAAATTATTTGATGCAGTCTAGTGCTTTAAATCTTCAATTAAATTTCACTGGACAACGGCAGCAAGAGGTATTTGAAAAGTGATGCCTCAGTAGCAAAAATCACTTAAAAAAGGAGCCTCGGTGAAAAAAGACTAAGAACCATTAAATTAGGCAATTTCTGAACAGTGTCACAACTACATCTAACAGGCATACACAGTGAGTACCAGCTGTGGAACGGAGGAGGATGTTCAGCTTAGAATCGAAGGACTTGCATCCTGCGTTGAGAGCATCCCATCAGTGACGCGGGCTTGGTATTCTTGGTATTTCATTAGTATCTATTACTGTCGAAAATATTAGTCGGTACGATCAGTACCAATGACTTATAAAAACAGTTGAATTGCGCTAAATCAACAAAGTGAAACTCCCTAGAACTTCTTGCCTTTGGAGAGCAATTCGTTTCCTAGCTGCACCTTATCGGCTGCTTCAATTTGTAGATTCAACGAACAGACGGCGTGCATTGGCATTTATTAAGATGTATTGGTGGCCAAAAGATCGCTGCCGGATTTGTAATGTACCGAATGAGGAATTCAACAGCCGAAGCACTCACCGCTTGCTATTTGATTCGAGTCCTGGTCTCATTTTTGCCTCTTTCATAAGGTTTTTTCTGAACGTAGGCTCAGAATACTATCGTAGACAAAAAAAAAAAAACAAGTTGTCTGCTGTATCTGCGTTTACTTTAGCAATGTCTGGAGTTACGGAGGATAGTAAGCTGTCTGGACGAGTTTTCTTTTAGCAGAGAAATACCTAGTTGTTCGCATGCAGTGGATGCTGCTTACTGT